AGAATAGGACATGGAACAATGGATGCAAGCTACAGGAAAAGAGATTCCTTCTTAACATTATGAAGCACTTCCTGACATTAAGAGCTGCTTGATAATGGATGGCCATCTGTCAGAGGTGCTTTGATTGTGAGTTCCTGCATGACAGGAGGTTAGACTGGATGGCCCTTGAGGTCTCTTCCAACTCTATAATTCTATGAAGGATGTTGCCTAAAGCCAAGGCTAGTAGGTATGAATGTGTATTGGGATGTAATGTGGGAACCAAAAAGACAACTATTGTTAAAACTGAACTTGTCACCTCATTTCCACACCCACAAAGTTTTGCATTCTTATGGGCATTCTCACATACAGGCTGCTATATAAAGTCTGTCCCTGGACTTTCCACTCTATTCCCATGCATCTGAGGAAGTAGGCTTGAGTCTGTGAAAGCTCATGCTTACCACCTTTCAGATAGTGTCATAGGAGCTACAAGATCTCTTTGCATACTGATTTTCCAGACTAACACAGCTATATCTTTGAACTGTATGTAATATGCATGTCTTATGACTTTGTGTAGTATGTGCCATGTCTTAAAATTGAGAACCTGCGGAGTATACAGTGTCCATTTTGTGTTTAGGTGTAGCATATTGCAGAAAAAGGTCCACATTCATATATGTAGACATGGACATCAAGGGATTGCAAAAATTATCATCACACCACTACTTGATGGGGCTGGGGGTGGGGGTGGGGAATGAGAGTTTACTGTTGTTGTTGTGTGCCTTCAAGTTATTTCTGATTTTTGGTCCTTCCCTCAAAAGTTCCAAGGAGGTAATGATTAATCATTTTGTAATGAAGTCTCTTCCTATGACAGCTCTAATCCTTGGCCATGCCTCAGATAGGAACAGAGCCTGGAAATATTTTTGTTTGGATTAGAATCCCCACTCAGCACAGACTGTGGAGGTCCTGGGAGTTGTGGTACCAAAAAAGTATATATATATTGCTTTAGCTAGAAAGAAAGGTTAAGAAAACCTTGCATGAAATAAAGCTGTTTGTTTGCTGCAAGTTTTATGAATTATTCAAACAAAAAAGGCATATAGCAGGAATGGGACAAGGACTTACATAGTGCAGATACACTTCCATATTTCACATATTTAAAATCCATGAAGGTGTTTTACCAAAAAAAGTCTGCATTTTTGCTGTCACATTCTGAGGCTGACACCATATGGTCTTAAATAGGGCGCATCCACACTGCAGAATCATTGCACTTTGATTCCACTTCAACTGCCATGGGTCCATTCCATGGAATCCTAGGATTTGTAACCTGGTAAGGGATTTAAAATTCTCTACTAGACTCCATTGAACTACAGTATTAGAGCTCTCTGCCAGAGAATTCTAAGTATTTCACAAAAATATAAGTCCCAGCATTCCATAGGAAGAATCCATGTCTATTACTGATTTAAAAAAACCCTGATATAACTGTTTAGTTTGGATACACTCTTAGCCACTCTTCACTATTTATCCCTTTCTAAATTTTAAAACAACATCATCCATTTGTTTGTTTTCATTTTATGCCATGTATTTATTTTGCAGCCTGAACCTCAATAATTTCAGTGGTAAAGGTTTAAACATGTTTAATCCTTAATTGCAACATTGCTGAACTTTGGCTGGATCATAGTAGATCTGCATATGGTGGGTAGAAAGGAATTGGAAAGTAATATTTATACTTTTTTATGTAGGTCTTTCCCATCAGAAGACAATAAACAAACATCTTTGCACCATGCATAGGAAAATTACAATCCAGTTAAGCTGCCAGATGGAAAGAAATATCAGGAGCAGACTGCCTAAAATGCTACCTAAAGTGACAGCTGGACAGCTTCAGGTGACAGAGATATAAAGAATATTATTTGCCACTTCAGTAGGTAAAAGCAAAGATTATCCCATGAATTTAAATAAGTACCTTCAGTTGAGCCACTTAGCAGAAAAGGAATGCCTAGGCATCTGTATCCAATTCTGACACATTTCAAAAGAATCATTGAGCAGAGCAGCTTAAAAATTAACCATTCCCCAACATGATAGTGAGTGTCCTATAGTAGCCAAAGCTAAAGTAGCAAACAGTCTTATCATGTTAGATCACAAGCCTTCTTTTTCTTAAGAGGTCTATAAGTACACAGCTCATACTATCATTTTTTACTCACAGATCAACAGGTACTTTACATTATGTGATAAAAGAAATGTCTTGATCTCTTCCCCCACTCCCCCAACTATGAAAAGTGACATGCTCTTGGTAATATTTATAAACCAAACAATGTAGGGAGCAAAACCTACTAAATCATATGTGTTTCTTGTTGTTTCAGTGGAGGATACTGAATGCAACAATCTAGAGCCCATGATATTCTGTTGGGTGTAATGCTGTACCACCTAATGCAGAATAGACCATCTTTCTGGTCCAAAGGTAATCTTTGTGCCACCTAATGCAGAATAGACCATCTTTCTGGTCCAAAGGTAATCAAATGCTCAAAGTCAAAGGAGACAATGTGTATACATTTCACAGGGAGAAGGTTTAAACAACCCTTATTCTAATTCCTTTCACTGAAGAGATAATCGGTAGAAAAAGGTGTGTAATTAATTCCATTTGTAGAGTTGAGAACCTTGCAAAATGTTGGACTGATGCTAGGATAATAAGGGAAATAAACATGGTTGATTTCATTGGAAAGATGATATTGAATGGATAACCTTATAAAATCTGGTCACTTGTGTAGGGGTAAAGCACGTGTAGGGATAAAGTGGTGGGTCACTGGTGGGATAATTTGTCTCTGAGTTGTTGTTGCTGCTGCTGCTGCTGCTGCTACTGCTGTGCCTTCAAATAGTTTCTGACTTATAGAGACCCTAAGGCAATCCTATCATGGGGTTTTCCTGGCATGTTTCTTCAGAGGGGATTTGCCATTGCCATCCTCTGATGCTGAGAGTGTGTGATGTGTCCAAGTTTACCCAGTGGGTTTTCATGGCTGAGCTGGGATTAGGACCCTGGCCTCCAGAGTCACAGTCCAACACTCAAACCACTATGCCACATTGACTCTCTAATCTGTCTGTACTATATCACAATAACACTGCCCATGGTCTTGAAATACCCTCAAGTCTGTTCCTGCTGGGCTCAAGTATGTCCCCTTTCAAGTTTAAATGGTTAAAAGTCCATTTGAAAAAGTGGTCCAATCCTCTCTACTTTTCATTCCAGTACCTTAGTCTTCAAAGGAGATGCTAAGGAAATGTAAAAATGCAAAATGGCATTACTCTGAGTGTACACATAGATATAATAATAATAATAATAATAATAATAATAATAATAATA